TGGCGCCCACGCGCAGGCCTATCAGCCACGCGCAGGCCCAGGCCCGGGGGCCACGCGCAGGCCCAGCGGGGCCACGTGCAGGCCCAGGGGGCCGCACGCTGGCCTGGCGGCCACACGTAGGCACAGGCCCAGCAGCCACGCGCAGGCCCAGAGGCCACACGCCAGCCCTGGAGAGGCAGCGGAACACGGAGCAGAGCCCTGGCCGCGCAGGCCCGGCCGCTGCTATTCACTATTGAAAGACTGTGTTCTCTTCTTCTATTGGCCATTTTGTATGGTTGATCTCACACTGTATAAATAACTGGATATTCTGTTTTCTCATGCCATCAGAAAACTTTATTTAATCTCAGCAGTAGAGGCCTGAATTAATCATTGTCCTCAGTTTATGGTACATTAACATAATTATCCAAACAATAACTGCATGAGCTTATTACTTTTTACTCCCACTCCCAGGGTCCCTTCTCCCAACCCATTGACATTTATTCTACATCTATGTAAAGTGTCATTGTGTTTGTCTTTTGTATTCTTAAAAATTGGGCTTTAAGTTGTCACACATGATCACGTATTCTTGTATTATTATGTACTTCAATTTGTGTATGCATCATTGTTATTTACATGTAAATCTGTTTCTAACCTTTTTGTCATGAATCTTGATTCTTTTAAGATCTGACCATGGTTGCCAGATACATTTCTAATTTACTTCTTCTAAAAGTTGCATAATGCTTCGTGGTGCACATTCCCACATTTTATCCATTTCAGGTGGGCGCCCTAATTGTTTGCTTGCACAGGAAGTGCAGATATTCACCAATGTGCTAATGGTAAAATGACCACCTTTGGGCATTGTTGTGGTCTCCCTTGGAAATATAATTCCTGATGCAAAGAAGGAGGGCATCTGGCTCAACTGATAATAATATCCCTGAGTTTGATATTCACTGCCAAACTCCTTCATGGACAGGCTGCAGTGATTTATACTGCTACCACAGTAGTCTCATTTTAAAAATCATTTTACTTATTCAATTTCTTATACTTCCTAAGATGTTAGACTGCGTAAGACAAATTCCTTTCATATAGCAAAAAGTAATACATCAAAGGTGCTTTAATAGTTTATTTTAGGTAGAATATTGAGTAAAATATTTGACTTTTCCAATTAATTATAGAGCTAATCAGTGTAACCTCATGTAGTCAGGTTGTCCCAAAAAACATTAATTATATATTCCATTTGTAGATAATCTACCAAGAAAGATAAAGAGTTGCTTAAACCTTGATGTAAAAAGAACACTTTATGATGATCAAAATATGAATCTTGTTACTTATGCAGAGAGTCCTAGGTCTTAGATATGACATCTAGGATTTGACAATGTGCAAAATTAATGCTTCCTATGCAGTATTCTTGATCTTTTTTTAAAAATCTTTTCATAGAGAATAGAGTTGCTATCTGACAAAACTTTTTAAATGTTTATGAAAAAATAGAATTAAAGTATTAGTTTATTAAGGTGCAAAAATTTTTGAAATTTATGTGCAATCATCCACAAACACATTTACCATGAACTTTCTGAAGACTCCTCATATTCTGTATAGAAGTCCAAATTTTCACATGAGAATATCCTCTACTGTAGACACCATGGCCAGCCCCCTTATTTGGACAGCTTTCTTGTAGATAGTTTCCTCAGTATGAAGGCATAGTATCAATTTTGTAAGTTGGGAACTGTGGAAATTACTAACTTTCCATACGAAGTTGCCAAATTCAAAAGGTGTGGAAACTGGGCTTGTGAAGAGAAGTTTGTAAAGAAGTCTCCTTTGTTTGGCTGCTATATCTTGGTGTACACATTTCTTGATTGTGAAGTAAGTTACTTAGAAAACAAATACACCATCAAGTTTCCATGGTGTAGAGCCACAGACTAATTCAAGTACTCCCTTTGTCCCTGGAGAAATATTTCACCTTCTCTACAAAGCAAGTTTCCCATCTCTACAATAAGACTACTTGAATGTCCATCTTGGATAACAATGCAATTAAGTGGTTAATATTTGAAAAATATGTATAATTTCCCATGTTTCCATGTTGTTGTCACCATCATCAAAACCTGGAAATAAAATATTGATTTAAAAACTCCCCTTTATAAGACTTACTGGAAAATCCAAATAACATTACATTAGGTCACCAAAGAGATGAGTTTATAATCAAAACAGTCAAGAAGAGCTTTTTATTGTGGCATCTCTCAGCTTTAGCTTTTCAAAGATTGATCACATTCTTTGATGTAATCTTTTTTTAAATGTTCATTTATTTATTCAGTAAGTGAAAGAGTCAGAGAGTCAGCACCGCAGACAGGGACCTGAGGTTGGGATCTGCTTCAGCTCAGACAGCTTGCAACATGGGCACGCATGTGCCATGTATGTTCAGAGAGGTCTCCAGACACAAACCAGTGACCTTCCATGAGGCTCTGACTCCAACAGCATCAAATTCTATCACTACCCCACCAGTCAACCCCTTCTTTGCTGTAATTTTAAAATTGCCCTTGAGTAAACAATGAACTTTGGCACACAGGGCTCCTTGCTTTTATTTTCAGTAATGATAATCTGAAGATGAAGGTACTATGTTTGTAGGATAAATTTTAAACCATAAAATATACACTAAAACTTACAGCAAAATTATATATATATAAAATATGTATATATATGTGTATGTATATATGTATACACATATATACATGTATATACATATATGTGTATACACATATATAATATATATATATGTGTGTATATATATATATGTGTATATATATATATATATACACTCAATTATTCCTCATGCGCTCAGGCATCTCATGGTCAGAAGTCCAAGTCCTGGCTCTCCTCTGACGAGTTTATTTACCTTGAGCAAGGCTCAGGATGCCCTTGAGGCTCATCAAAATGAGCATATTTACACATGCATTGCTTATCTATATTGTGATTTATAAAACATATATATCCATGTGTATATTGTATCTATTTATATATGAACATATACACACATATATAAATATATATACACATATATATTTATATACATATGTACACACAATCTGCTCATTGTATATACCACAATCTATTTACCTGTAGAGATGCACATACACACGGATGTACAGGGACAGAAATAGAGAGGAAGGTCATGGGAGTGTGCCTGGAACAGAGTAAACATTAATTAGTTTCTTATAATTATTATTATATGAATCATAGTCATTATCACACCAGTGTTTATTTTATAGTGCAATATTTCCAATGTTTTCACTTGTCTTAGAAATAATGTACTTATGTATGTGTGTGTGTGTGTGTGTGTGTGTGTGTATATATTTCTATTTTTAAATTTGCCACAGGGCACCTGATCTCATCAGAGAGAACACAGAGACAGAGAGATAGAGGAGAGGGGGGAAGTACCCCTCAATGGATCATGGTCAGGCAGTGATCCCTCCTCAATTTCTTCATCCTGTGGGCCTTTCGAGCACGCATTCGCAGGCACTCAATCTGTATCCCCAGCTACCAGGTCCAGTACTCAAATCATTCATTTAGCGATGTGGGATCTGGCTCCCTTAACCACTATGCCACACGGTTGGTCCTATATTAAAACATTTTTTTTTTAACTTTCCCCTTTTCTTTTTTTTTTTCCTTTTTTCATTTTTTTTGCTATAGGGCACATGCATTCATCAGAGAGAGAGAGAGAGAGAGAGAGAGAGAGAGAAAGAGGGAGAGAAAAATGAGAAATCATCCCACCAGGGGGATGGGCACACCAAAATCCCTTCTACTCCACTCTCCTCTCAGGATTTTGGGCATACACTCACACATACCTGGTGTCATTTTCAAGTCACTGGATCCGGGACTCAGACTGCACAGTAGGTCATGTGGATCCAGCCACCTCAACTTCTATGTCACTTGCTGGCCTTCAAACTTTATATTTTAATTGTGGCCCTTAAACTATTTTTAATCGTGGTTATAAATATGTAACATTAAATTTACCATCATAAACATTTTCAGTGTGTAGGTCAGTTCTGTTTAGCATATTTACACTGCTATGCGAAAGATCTCTAGAACTTTCTCATCTTGCAAAACTGAAATTTTACGCTCCTTAAGTACTAATTTCCCCATTTGATTATTTTAGATACATCATGAGTGGAATCATACAGTATGTGTGCTTCTGTGACTGCCTTATTTCATTTCTCATAATATCCTTGAGGTTTGTCCATGTTGAGGCCCATGACAGGACCTGCTATTTAAAGGCCACACAATCTGCCATTGTATCTATGTGCCACGATTTCTTTACCCATTCAGCCATCAGTGGACATTTGGGTGGCTTTCTTTTCTTAGCTACTGTGACTTCTGTTGCAATGAGCATGGGTGTGCAAATATTTCTTCGAGAACCTGCTTTGAATTCTTTTGGATACACACCTAGACATGAGATTGCTGGATCATACGTAGAATTAATTTTTGTAAGAAACTTCATGCTGTTTTCTGTAGTAACCGTACCATTTAAGTTTCCACCAACAATGCACAAAGGTTCTGATTTTTCTTCATTCTCCACACTTCTTGGTTTCTGGTTTTTTCAATAGTGGCTATCTTTTTCTTTTCCTTTTTCTTTTTTTTTTTGTTTGTTTTTGTTTTTCTTTGTTTCTGTTTTTGCTATAGGGCATGTGCCCTTGCCAGATACTCATAGAGACAGAAAGTGAGAAATAGCCCCTGGGGAATAGCCACACCACAATCCCTTCTCCTCCATTCTCCTCTTTGGATTTTGGGCATGCATGCACATGCACTTGGTGTGAGTTTCAAGCTGCCAGGGCCAGGACTCAAATCTCCGTCAGACACGTGGGAGTCCAGCAATGTAACCATTATACCATCCGTTGGTTCCAACAGTGTCTATCTTAATGAGTGAGAATTTGAACCTATATTTTGGAATCAATCTTAATATGTAGCAATTATTTTATTGTGATTTTATTAATATATGGTAATATTTAGATCCCTGTTCTCTGGTACTTAACGTTTAAACATGAGGTTAATTCAGCAGGCCAGGTTGATAGTACTTTTTTCCATAATGTTTTGTTCTTGTTTCCTTTCAGGTTTTGAAACTGTATCAACATGTCTGTATTGGAGCTTCCTTTACTTGATATACTACCCAGAAATTCAAGCTAAAATTCAAGAAGAAATTGGTAATGTGCTTTCACGTGAAAAATATGATTATTTATTTTCAGTGATGTTTATTACATTTAAACAATTCTTTTTTTAAGATGCAAACATTGGGCTGAAATCACCCAGATTTGAAGACAGGAAACTTTTACCCTACACAGAGGCTTTTATAAATGAAATATTCAGACATGCTTCCTTTCTTCCCTTTACTATTCCACATTGGTAAGTACATCGTTCTCCCAGAAACAGAGTTTCCTCTGCCCTCCTTACTCACACACACGGGTATCTTTTTACAGCCCTTTCCTTCTGGCTACTGTGTCAGATCACCTTTAGGTGGAAACAAATTTAGTGTTTAAGTTTTTTTTGTTTCTTATTTTTTAAAGATCCTACCTAAGTTTAGAGCCAGACAGTGGTATGGTAGTTAGGTGGTGAAATTCCACACGGCCAGTTCTGTTGTTTGAGTCCTGACCTGTCAGGTTGACAGACATGGTGGGTCTATGTATATATGTGAGTCCAGAACTCCGAGAGGAGAAAGGAAGAAAATAGGTTGTGGCATGGCCATCCCCCCGGAAGAGCTACTCTCTCATGTTCCCCGTCTCTCCATTTCTCTCTTTCTCTGGTGAGTGCAAACACCCTAGAGCGAAAATTAAAAAAATAAAATCCTGTGTTTAATAAAGTGACTCTCTCATTCTAATGACATTTCCACAGTGCCTTTGGGTGCTTCATAAGAGCATTATTTACACTTGTACTAAGTGATCAGGAGCAAAGAAGCCCCACCAAGGCTATCAGCATCATTTGGAATGAAAATGGTTATCTCCTTGGGGCCCTTAGAAACTCATCTCAGTCTCATTAATTGAGAGGTGACATACATATCAGGACATAAGTATTCACTGGATTATTAAAGTAAGACAATATATTAATATTTAAAATTTAAAGAGCAAATGCATTGGCTAGAAAGAGTAGTTGCTACAAACCAAGAATTTCAGTATCCAGAAAAAAAGGAGACCTATTTTTGTTGTTTGGGTCTTTTCTACCTTACACCTAAAAGTTTACTTCTTTTCTATTTAAAAGGAAAATAAATCAAAAAGCAAAGATTGTTAGAGTGAAATAAATTCAAACAAAGAATTAAAAGAACCTTCGGTAAAAACAAGAAAAGTTTTGCTACTATACCTAACTTGGAACACAGACACGCACACACACCACACAGTTGAGACCAGTGGTATTCTAATACGTTTCCATTGAATATGTAGCTGTTTTCCTTTACTATTTTTTTTCTTTTTTGATTTGCCAGAGAGCATGTGCACTCATCAGAGGAGACAGAGGGGAAAAGTGAAAACACCCACCATGGGGAATGGTCATGCTGCAATCCCTTCTCCTCTATGTCTCCCTTCTTTCAGGACTTTGGGCACTCAAGCCCAGTGCCCAGTGTGTTTCCCAAGCGCCTGGGTCTGGCACTTGAACCATGTGATTCACCTTGTGGGATCCAACTGTCTTAACCACTATGCCGCTGATTGGTCAGTATATGTGTTTCTTAAAAGTTGTGTGGAAAGCCACTTTGTTCATATATATGTGGAGAGAGAAATCCTACAATCAATCCATTTATATATTGAGTCACTGTAAGTCTCTATTAGTGAAATAACATTTTACATATCAAGTTTCCATTAATAGGATTATGTGACTTCTTATGTAGAGAAGACACTGAGCAGCTGACTCCACAGTGGGGATGTGGACAGGACTGTGCTGAGATAGGCACGTGGCTATGCATGGGAGAAGGTCATTTCTCCAAAACCTAGGTTCATTGTGTGGCCTTCCTTCTGAAGTTTTGAGACACCCAATGAAGGATACCATATCACTTGCCAAAGTTCAGTGGCAGCTGCCAGGTGGACACAGATCAGATAGAGATTTTGTTACTGGCTTTGAAAATGATCTGAGGTTGTTTGCACAGTGTGGCTTGGAACTAAATCAAGTAGGCTTGTTGATACTTTGCACCTGGATTAGTCATACTTCTTCATTCAGTCTCTACCCAGATTGGACAACTTTGAATCTCCCTAGGAAAATAAAACCTGCTCCTTTAAACTCAGCCCATTACTGGATATAGATAAGCTATTCCTTTACTATGGGTCAGGTCAGAGAAGAGAAACCCTGAAGTGACTAAGCCAAATGTCCTGTGCCTTCTCTCAAACTCATCAACTAGAAATGTCATTGCTTCTCCTCTGGGCAATGTGAGAGAAATCTAGTGCATTAGAAAGTACCACATATAGGGACCAGCAGTTGGCATAAATGGCTATGTCACTGGACTCCCATGTAGTTGACAGCAGTTCAAGTCCCAGACGCGATGGCTTAAACTCACACTGGGCGCATGTGCATGTGTGCCCACAATCTCAAGAGGACAATGGAGGAGAAAGGATTGCAGCATGGCCATCCCCCCTGGGGGGTTATTTCTCGCTTTCTGTCTCTCTGTCTCTCTGTCTTTCTGGCGAGCGCACATGCCCTATAGCAAAAACCTCTCAATAATAAAAAAAAGTGCCACATGGAAATATAAAATGATTCGATCTAATCAATGTGTAACTACAGAGGTATAAAGAGGAAAGTCATCCAGGTTCCAGAAAGAAGGCTGAGTGTGGAACTAGAAAAATAGTGATGGTTTTAGAGGCAACTTAGTGATCGCCCAACATAACAACCACCTTCATTCCACAGCTGAAAGTGGAATCACCGAGGACATGCAGATTGGCCCAGTCTCTCACTGACAGCAGCATCTGGAGTCCAAGTTTCCTTATTCCAATTCCATCGTTTCTTCCACCAAGCACTGGAAGATGTGCCATTTTGTTTTTTGAATCTATTAACAAAAGCCACAAACATAACATTCATAGTATTTCCCTCAATAGTTTCCTAGTCTAATTCGACCTGTCTATTTATGGCCACATCTATATTAGGAATTTTGAGAGGCTTTTCTACTGATATTTTAGTCCATAGAAATACTGTGAATATATTAACTGCACAATACAATACATATTAGAAACATCATAATTTATTATTTGACAATAGGCAGAAATGATTTCAATTAATGGGAAAACAAAGCTTTATAAAAATGTTGTATGATTATAGTAAAAAGAAAAGAAAGGCATAACTGAGCTGTGGGAGGCAGAGTTGGGTGAGGGATTTGAGCTCATGGGGTGTGCCCTAATGCTGTGTTTTCTTCCCTAGTACCACGGCAGACACCACTCTGAATGGCTATTTCATTCCCAGGAAAACATGCACCTTTATTAACATGTACCAAGTAAACCACGACGAGTAAGTCACCAAAATTTACCTTGGGATAAAATTTGCTTGCTTGGTTTTTCATTAGTTGCTTACTAATCTGAGGAAGATTTATATTCATCTTAACCAAACTTCACTCTTTTATTTCTCTTGAAAGAAGATGGAAAGAAGTTTAGGTTGCTCTCTATCCAGGGAAGGGTGATAGCTCAGTATCAATTTAGAGGAAATCCAAGTGAGGGAAAATTCAGTTTAAACATGGGCTCACTGGGTACCAAGGACATTATGGGCTTATCCTTGATATGATTCTGGTTAGTTGAGATTAGAAATCCCCAACTGGAATAGGAGCCAACTGAGCAGGGACTTGGTTTTTTTTTTTCTTCTCTTTTGCTTGTTTGTTTTTTCCTCCATCCCAGCCCCTAGGTCACTGGCTGACACCAACTGATGCTCAATAAACATGTTTTTTATTTGCCAGGAAGCAGGTGCACTCACTAGAGAGAGAGGCCGAGACAGAGAGGGATTAAGTACCTCCCAATGGGGTGTAGTCATGTCACCATCCTTCTCCTCCATTTCTCCTTCCTGTTGGAATTTAGGGTACAGATGTACATGTGCCTGGCATGTTTTTCAAGCTGCCAGGCCTGGGATTTGAACCATGGTATGCCATGTAGGATTTAGCTCCCTTAGCTACTCAGTTCTATGGCTAGACCAACACTCAATAAATATTTGTTGAATAAAATGAAACTAAAACCTCAGCTCTAATGCATATAAAAGGGAGGGATGAGATAAAGTACTTCATGTGGTGAAAGTGAGGAAAATGACAGTGGTGATGGTGGGGGTGGGAATCATAATTTTAGCTGAGATTTAAAGACCCTACCCCACTGTGTGCCAAACACGAACCCCTGATGGTTCCTTCCTGAGCATCAATGATAACACTGTACAGAGGAGCAATCATGAACAAGTTCTCAAACAGGATCAACACATTTCTGAAGGTCAAATATTCAACAGGTGCCAGAGGCGAGACTAGAATACAGATGTGTTCAATTCTGTTCAGGTATTCCACGTGGCCAGGGGTGCCAGATAAGCTGGTAGAGTGCATTCTTATGCACTTAGCAGGCTGTAAGAGGGGATTTCAAAAACTTCACTGAAAAATGTAATTAAAGTTCAAGTTTATTTGGGTGCAAAATAATTCTGAAATCCATGTGTGGTTTTATCATAATATACATTTTCTATAAACTTTTTGGAGTCCCCCTTGTTCATGCAGTTTTCCTACCTTCACCCAAGATCTTGTTTGACTGCTCTTTCTCTCAACTCCAGGCTGTTAGGGAGGGAGCTGATTGCCCTGTGTACCTAACAAAACCTTTACAATCTCTGCAAGCAGCAAAATGGTGGAAAATGCTTCATAGGCTCGTTGTTCCATTGCAAGATTTGCACTCTGTTGCAGGATTGACCCTTCTATTCTTCATACCTAGTGATCATATCGAATAAAACTCAGTGTTTTGAACATATCGCAAGAAGAAATATAATCAGTGCAAATTTAATGGCATTTATTCTCCTTTAGCATGACTCTAAGTGTTCTTATATCCTGAGATCTTATAATTACATTGAATTTCTTTTATATTCTTATTTATTTATTTTTCTTCTTTTTATTTTTTTCATTTCATTTTCTTCCATACATTCAATCACATTATTATTTGTCTTACAGAATGGATATTTCAACAGGTGAACATTTCTCCCTAGTACCATTGATAAAACTATGAAATATCTTCAACAGATAATACCACACCTCTTTGTGCCATTAGTGCTTAATATTAAGTGATGCTCAAACTGAGCTAACAAAGGTGCTGTTAAAGAAAGACAGTTAGCCTGGAAGCACTTGTTTAAGTTAAATGAGTATGTGATTCAAAACTTGGTATTAGGGGGAACCAGCAGTTAGTGTAATGACTATGTCGCTGGACTCCCACGTAGTCGACCGCAGTTTGTGTCCCGGGCCCGGTGGCTTAAAACTCACGCCGGGTGTGTGTGCATGCGTGCCCAAGATCCCGAGAGGAGAATGGAGGAGAAGGGATTGCGGCGCGACCATCCCCCCTGGGGGGTGATTTCTCGCTTTCTGTCTCTATGTCTCTCTCTGTCTGTCTGGCGAGCGCACGCGCCCTACAGTGAAAATCTCTCAAAACAACAACAACAACAACAAAAACTTGGTATTAGGGAAAACTTATTCATGTTTAATTTAGGGCAGTGGTTACAAACTCAAGCACCTACAGAGTGATGGAAAATACCAAAACTGAATGAGCTGTACTTGGTAAGGTGACAGGGAGAGGCCATTAGCTACATCTGACTCCGTTCAGCAAACTGTGACAAGCACGACAGTATCCCAATATTGTCAGTTCTTCTGCTTCTAAAACAGAACTGGAAATGCAGATGCTCATGTGAAATCTGATTTTTAAATGTTAGCAACAATGAACTGCTTTTTAAAGATTATGAAAACTAAATAAATGTCTTGGAAGATCGTTTACGAAGGGTCATCCCTTAGACCTGTGACTGTAGCACACAGAAACTGGTTGCTTTTCTTTTTAAAAACAGGGCAACATCTGCACACAGAGGCTGCTTCGTTTTCTTATCATTTGTATTCACTGAAGTAGCCCTTGTCTTTCTTTTTCTCTTTCCTTTTTAAAGAGATATTTGCTGTAAGACCTATGCACTTACCTGAGAGACAGAGACAGAAAATGAAAAATCAACCCCCAGAGGGAATGGGCATGCTACAATTCCTTCTCCTCCATTCTCTCAAGATTTTGGGAACACACACACACACACACACACGACCTGTATGCCTTTCAGACCTCTGGATCTGGGACTCGAACCACTGTCAGTCAGGTAGGAATCCAGCACCTTAACCACTATGCCATCTGCTTGCCCTGGAGTAGCACTTTTCATTTCCTTCAAGAACTTAACTGGTGCAAAAGAACTAGTTTTTGGCTTATCTTGATTTTCCACATGCCTTCATCATTTTTAGCATTTTATTTAAAGTGAGAGACATGCATCTCTTCCTTTCACATGAGCAATTAGAGACCTCTGTAGAGTTATTAATTGTCCAATTTCAATATTGTGTCTCAGGGAGTATTCCCTGAAGTGGCAGATAGATGGATTAACGGCTGGCCCATGGAGCAATCAGAACACACATAACAGTTACAGATTAAGTTTGCCATTTTATACAAATGTGGTTTGTGGCACTGCTCCCACCCTCCAAATTACAATGGTAACGTCAAAAATCACAGGTTATCATAATAGAAATGATAATAATGAAAAACTTTGAAATATTATGAGAATGATCAAAATATGACACAGGGACCAGCAGTTAGCGTAATGGCTATGTTGCCGGACTCCCACATAGTCGACTGCAGTTCGAGTACCGGACCCGGTGGCTTAAACTCATGCCGGGCGCATGTGCGTGCGTGCCCAAGATCCTGAGAGGAGAATGGAGGAGAAGGGATTGCACATGGCCATCCCCCCTGGGAGGTGATTTTTTGCTTTCTGTCTCTCTGTCTCTTTCTGTCTGTCTGGGGGGCACATGTGCCCTATAGCAAAAACCTCTCCAAAAAAAAAAAAAAATGACACAGGCACAAAATAAGTACATGCTCTTTGAAAAACGTCCCTGATGGGACCAGCGGATGGTGTAATGGTTACGTCACTGGACTCCCACGGAGTCGACCACAATTCGAGTTCTGAACCCAGCAGTTTAAAACTCACACCAGGTGTGTGTGCATGTGTGCCCAAAATCCCAAGAGGAGAATGAAAGAGAAGGGATGGAGGTGCGGCCATCCCCCTGTGAGGGGGTGATTTCTCACTTTCTGTCTGTCTCTGCCTCTCCAGCGAGTACACGATCCACAGCAAAAATCTGTCTTAAAAAGAAAAAGAACAAGAAAAATGGCCCTGATAGACTTGTTCAATCCAGCGTCGCCATAAACCTTCAGCTTGTGGCAAACACAGCATCTGTGAAGAACAATAAAATAAGAATACCTATCAATGTATATATATTCATTTACATACCTGATAAAGATATTCCAAGCTTGAGTCAAATATTTCATGTAAAATAAAGTGACTGTGGAGAAGTGAACAATAGCAAAAATAGTAAAATGATTTTTAAAAAATATCATTCTTGTTTATTTTTTCCAGAACTATTTGGGATAACCCCAGCTTATTTAGACCTGAGAGATTTCTAAATGAAAACGGAGAATTGAATAAAAGTCTTGTTGAGAAAGTTTTAATATTTGGAATGGGAATCCGGAAATGTCTGGGAGAAGATGTTGCACGAAATGAGATATTCATCTTCATCACCACTGTTCTGCAACAGCTCAGCCTGAGAACGTGTCCCCGAGCTGAACTCGACCTGACGCCCACGTATGGGTTAACCATGAAGCCCAAACCCTACCAACTCCAAGCAGAGCTCCGTTCCTCAGGAAGTTCATCTGTTTAAACTCCAGACCAGTTGGAAGGTTCTTATTTAGTTTGAAAAGTTCTGTAATTCAAATTCATTTAATAAGTAGTTTAAAGATTGTACCTCTACAGTGTGGTATTAATTCAATTTGTGTCATGTTTTTTAAAGTGTATGGTTTAGCTTCTGTTCTAATACAAGGCTAACTGTCCTATGTTGATATTATAAGAAAATAAGGAAATGTGGTGTAAATCGGAGAGTTTAAGAACATGTCACAGGGGGTTCCCAGTGTCACTGTGTCACTGTAGAAGTGAAGGGAAGGGAGAGTGGAGTGCTGAATTAAGTGAGCAGGTGAGGAGACTTCATCTGTGTCCCTTTATGCAGCCACAGATATTTGCTTCACATGTACAAAGTTCTGAAGTTAAATATTGTATATTTATTTCAGTGATTTGGGTGGGATGGGTGCTCAAGAGGGCCAGGAGGGGAGCTAGAATGGCCTAAAGCAGCAGAGGGCACTTCATGTTGGTAACAGATGAGCCAGGCTGGGTTTAGCAGTATGGAAAAAGATGTGAGGGGAATTGCTCAAAAACCATTTTTGTATAGGCTGTTAAATTTCCTGTTTTAAGAATTTAGTTTCAAGGAATCAGAAGGTGGCATAATGGTTAGGGGCTGGCTGGACTCCCACATAGCCAATCAGGGTGTGGGTCTGGACCTAGCAACTTGAAAATCATGCCAGGGACAACGTCCCGGGAGGAGAATTGGAGGATGGATTATGGCGTGGCCATGCTCCCTAAACAGTGATTTCTCACTTTCCTTCTCTCTGTCTCTCTGTCTCTCTCCACTGAGCACATGCACTCTATGACCAAACACACACACACACACACACACACACATACACACAACTCTACTACTACTACTACTACTACTACTAATTTCAAGGCAAACTGATGCTTTTACCATGGTGCCAATTTCTTTCAAAATATACATGTGTATGCATTAGTTTGCTAAAACTATCATAATAACAAAATACTGAAATACTAGAACAACAAACAAATTTCTGTTGTTCAGACTTAAACAACAGAAATTTATTTTCTCGTATTTCTGGAGGCTACAAGCCCAAGATCAAGGTGCAGGATCTGTCTTTCCCGAGGCCTTTCTCCTCAGTTGCTGATGGCGGCCATCTAACTATGTCCTCCCATGGCCTTTTCTCTGTATGCACACATCCCTGGAGTCTCATCTTCTTAGAAGAGCCCCAGTCACGTTGGATAAGGACCTACTTTAACAGCTGTAACTTCGTCTTCTCTTTAAAAGTCTTATTTCCAAACACAGTCACGTTTGGAGGAGATAGGGGTTGGGACGTCAATTTATGAATTTAGCCCATAGTATGTTACAGAAAAAGATTGACACTTTTTAGTTGCTGGGTTTTGTTTGTTTTGTTATTATTGTTGTTGTTCGTTGTTGTTATTTTGTTTTGTTGCTTATAATTGCCAAGAGAGTGTAAGTAAGCTCCCAAGCAGACAGAGAGAGAGAGAGAGAGAGATTAAGCACCCCTCAACTGAGCATAGTCAATCCCTTCTGTTTCACCATCCTGTCCGGATTTGGGGCAGACACACGCAGCTGCCTGGCATGTCTTCTGAGTTGCCTGCTGTGAGATCTGGCTCCTTTACCCAAACTAGGCTACAGAGCTCATATTAGATGCTTATTTTTTAAGAAACATACATGTATTGCTTTTTTAGAGAGATTTTTGCTATAGGGCATGTACACAGAGACAGAAAGTGACAAATTCCTCCCCAGGAGAGATGACCATGCTGCAATCCTGTCTCCTCCATTTTTCTCTCAGGATCTCATACACACCCGACGTAAAATTTAAGCCACTGAGTTCAGGACTTGAACTGTGAACAAGCACGTGGGAGTTTAATGACATAACCAGTACAGCATCTGCTGGCCCCTAAAAATATTTTTAAAATACAGTATCCAGAAGTAAATAAGTACTTTGTTAAATAAATTGGTTAATGACACATATAGACTTAAAACGGTTGATAAAAGAACACCTCTTTCAGTTCAAAGCTTTCAAGTAGAGTTGCAGGATAAAGGAACTTAAGCTGGGACATAGAAGCACTCTGGGTAGTACTGAGCTAGAGCAAGCAGTTAGGAGGTGTGGCTCTCCAGATAATAACCCTAGCCACGACGTGGCAACAACAAAGGCAGAGAAGGTCAGCAATTCACAGACTTCGTGAATTAGTCAAGTCTAAAACCTTTGTCTTTTTTTTTTCAAATATAAATAAATGCAGTATTTTCTTTCAGAATAAGCAAACTGAATTTCTTGTGCTTTTCTGTAAAAGCTTTTGAAATTATTTACATTATCTCCATGACAATGTGTCAAAATGAAACTATTCTTATATTCTTTCCAGAAGAAAGTTATCATAACTTCTGTGTATTCAACAATAGGGATAATTGGAACACAATGGAAATATTGGTACCTGTTTATCTAGCATTTAAAAAAAAAAACTTGTAGGTTTCTAACCACTTTTTCTTTCTTTTAAGTAAGAAAAGCCATTTCTGTACTTTTAATACATTGTATTATAAAATGTTAATTGCACTCTTAACTGTGCTTCTAAGGCATAATTAATAGTCTGGTGTTGGACTTTTTGTATAATTCAAGTTTGTACTTTACATATTTTTAGAAACCTAGATAAGAATAAAACTAGGAAAAGAAAGTGTGAAAGCAAAATAAGAATAACTTTTCTTTGTTATTTAACATATGAATATGAGTCAATTTTAATTATACGTATGTATTGTGTTGTCAGAAAAGTCATGACGTATTTTTCTGTGCAAAAACGCATCATGAGTTTTCCAACAATCCGGTATTTATCCTGAAGTCACAGTCTGTTCTATGAAATGTAATCAGAAGCAATACAGTGCACCAAGATATTGTAGCAAAAATTTATATTAATGTTGTGGGCCGCCAGGTGGTATGGTGGTTGAGGGCGTTGTATTCTCACATGACCACCCTCAGTTCAAGTCCTGGACCTAGTGGTTTGCTTTCTCACTTTCTCTCTTTCTCTCTCTCTCTCTGACCCTCTCTGGTAAAATTAAATAAAATAAAGTTAAATAAAATAAATATTTTAAAAAATTATATTAAAGCAAACTTTTAAAGTGACTAACTGGAAACAATACACAAAACTCATTATGACTACAGTTGATAATATATAGATATATGTATCAGTTACTAATGCAAGAGGACCGAAGTCTTAAAATCACTACATATTATGTAAAAAAGTGATTGTTGGAATTAAATATCTTGCTATACACAAGTACAGTCCTGCATCACTTAATGATGACGATATAGTCTGAGAAATGAGTTGTTTCGGCCTTGGGGGAACATCATAGCATTGTATTCACACAAACTCACATGGCATGGCTAACCACACACCTAGGCCGTCTGACAGAGCCCATACACTCCTTATGAGATCACATCTTATATGTGGTCTGTCATTGACCAAAACGTCCTTACAAGGCACCGAACAGCATGTATAGATACTTATTCACCTCTTCCTGCTCTCCTTGTAGCTGCAATCCCTAAGTGTTCTTGATAACATCATGAAGACAAAGACCTGTCTGGAAGCACTGTCCATTTCATGAAACAAATGAGCACAGGATATGCCTGGTCTCGAGTGTTTTTGCACATTTTTTTTTTTTTTTGAGAGGTTTTTGCTATAGGACGCAGGCGCTCGCCAGACAGACAGAGAGAGAGAGAGACAGAAAGTGAGAAATCACCCCCCAGGGGGTATGGCCATGCCACAATCCCTTCTCCTCCATTCTCCTCTCGGGATCTTGGGCACGCACGCACACGCACCTGGCATGAGTTTTAAGCCGCCGGGTCCGGGACACGAACCGCGGTCAACTACATGGGAGTCCAGCGACATAGCCATTACGCTAACTGCTGGTCTCGGTCTTGAGTATTTTTCAAAGAAGAAAAATTGCACCCCAATTTAAAAAACAAACAAACAAACAAAAACCAGAACCTTTTCCCACACTGCAATCTTTCATTTCTTTCCAGGTAAACCCATAATCCAAGATTCTGCCAATGTATAATGCAGGCAACTGATTGTCTATCATACATATTTTTATCACTGAGATGGCCAAAATAAATGAAAAAAAAAAAAAGGTTTATAGACTTTTATCTTTCAAGTCGTTTACAGAGACTAGTTTGTCTCCGTTCAAAATCAGGCTCCTTGTTGAACTGAATTTTTACTTTCTAACCTGGGATTGTCTCGAAAGAAGGAAAAAAAAAAGAGAGAGAGAGAGAAAGACAATGTGATTATATAACTTCAACAAATATTCACTTTGTATATTTCCAAAATCCAGGACACTTATTTTATTTATTATCATCTTGTTATGCCACAATTACATAAACAGCATTCATCTTGATTTGTTCTAGTTCTCTCAAACTACTGCTATTTCTTTCACTGCCAAAGATAAACTTTTCCTTAGTAGTTGTGGAACATCCTCTGTGTATCAGGCAATGTAACAGATATTTCTAAATTATTAACTTTGACAGAAAACATGAGATAGTTGCTAATACTTTTTCCAGAAAAGAAGACCCAGAAAGATTAAGTAGTATGTCCAGGATTCCTCTGTTGATAAGCGTTTCAAGCAAGATTAAAATCTGTATCAAATCAAGTCTGTTTGGTTTTCATGATGGCAGTGGTTTCAAAAGTACCTGCCTTTAATTTAAGGGAAATTCTGGCAGCAACTCAATATGTGAAATTGTTGGTCTCGTGGAAATGAGGATGAAGAACCCAGAACTCTGATTCTGGCATCCTAGCACCATTAGGTTCTTAGCATTAATAATAATTAATAATTATTAAGGGCACTATACATCACTAGGATGAATCTAGGAAAACTGGGAAGTAATTTTAAAAAGTACATATATTATCTCATTTAGAAAATCCATGCCAGATAGATGCAAGACTTGAATGAGAGAAGCCAAACTTTCAAATGTTCAAAAGAATATATGTTTAGCAGGGTAAGAGAAGATTACTTGAACAAGATATAAAAAATGCAATCCATGAGAAAACAATTAATTCATTTGCTACATTGCAAATTTAAAGTTCTGCTCAACATCAGACATTACAAACAAAAGCAAAAGCAAGCCACAGAGTGGGGAAACATATTTGAAACACATAATATACAAAGGAGTGGTATCTAGAATTAAAAAAAAAATTATTCAAATTAATTAGCAAAGATAAGCACCACTCCGAAAAAAATGAACTTGATTTCTGCATGTTAGCTAGTTTATTTTCCCTTGATTAAATGAAACTGGGCCAGATTTAGTGCATTCATTGCTTGCAGTCCTTCAAAAGTGAATGATCTCTCACTTTTCTCCACCTCCCCTCTCACACAAATGACCTCAGCTTACGGTTACTGAGGTCTCCTGGGAAAGCAATTTTACTAAAACTTCCTTTTGCTAATTTCATTTAGTAAAAATGGTACAGGATCTTCTCCATTCAGAACAAACTCTCTACCTTTAAAATATCAGTTACTATAATGTCTGTATTTTGTTCATCGTTTAGGGTTGGTCTATTGTAGAAGTGCTGTTTATATCTGTTTATCTGGTGGCAAGCCTCTTTCATATTTTTCAGAATTCTATGTCTCATTGCAGTTCATTGCAGTGACTGGGACTGAAAAACAGGATGTTTTC